TCTTACTGAAATGAAACATTTCTTTGCCGTGTATAATCAGATTTTCCAGAACCAACCAAATTTCTCACTGTAATGAGTGACCTATAACATTGTCTACCAACAGCAAAACTGCTTTGATGCCAAACAATTCATTTGGTTCTATTTCATTGACTTACGTCACATGTTGCAAAGAACAGTTCTATCAAAGTGACGTAAGTCTTGACTTGCGCCACTTCTATTGAACAGACTGGTCTAACAAAGTGAGGTAAGTCACCTATCAGCTCAAATAATTATGGTACAACAAAAATAATTTTTGGGATGTATTTGTGACATGCTAAAAAGGGTTTATTCACCTCTCATATACATTAGTAGGGCAACCAGATTATAGGAATCGTTTTATTCATTTCCTGAAAACAAATTTTTTGTGACTTACGTCACTTCTATGGAATGCCACAGAATTTTTGTACGTAGGCTAGATGTGTCTTTGAGCACATCTAAACCAGAAACAAATTCGTATCTGCGTTACATACAAAATACACCATTTGTACTTATCCAACGTACAATTTGTATTTCCGTTCAGACAAATTTGTATCCGATGAAGATGTGCTCAAAGACACATCTAGCCTACGTACAAAAAATTTTCCCTCCCCATTTAGAGCGTGGTACGGGACTGCAATTTTTGGTTACGGTCCGTGTCATACAGAACAGACCGTAACTTGAAAAAATGTTGGATAAGTCGAATACAGCTCTTAGCCAAACCAAGAAAGTACACTTCACACCGTACGCTGAAAATACGGTACGGACCGTAGGCAAACCGTACCTGCCTACGGTATTTTTCACAGTGACCCATGCATGCATGCGTGCGCACGGTTTAACTACACAGACCCTCGATCTACGCACATACTCCCGCGCGAACTGTTGAGTATAGTCGTCCAACGGTAACGGTCGATTTGCCTCCAGCTCTTGTGAACTGTAGATTTTGTGGACTCTAGCTCTTGCGACGACTAGCTCTTGTGAACTCTAACTCTTGCGACGACTAGCTCTTGTGAACTCTAACTCTTGCGACGCCTAGCTCTTGTGGATCCTAGCTGTTGTGGCTCTAGCTCTTGTGAATCCTAGCTCTTGTGAAGGCCGCTGCTTCTTTTGTGGCTAAGCGGGTCGTTGCATCTGCAACCCCGGATTAGTAATGCTTTAATTAGTACCTTCTGACTTTGTGAACTTCGCATCCCCTTTTGTAGGTCTGATCTTTGTTTAATAACTTTTAGGTACAGGTAACGTGTCGTACTGACCTGATGAGGAAATATGTACTAAGGGGTTAATTTGGAATTGTACATTATGAGGTTGGGCATCTGTGGAGCAGTGTCGGGGCGAAAACAAGTTCTTTATTGCAATGTTCTAGTCATACTAAAACGCGTAAAATGGGGATGACTGGATGTAAAATATGAGTACAACACACTAGTGGACCAAACAAAAGACCAATTAAAAGGTGCGGGAGGCAATATTTGAGTTCCATCATTGATTGAACATGACCACAATATGGTCTTTTAACGTTGTACTAGAACTACGTGATTTGAGCTATCGCCACTTTACACATATCTTATTTGAAGGTAAATAAAACCATTGCGACCAAAAAACCAAGCAAATTCGAAAAAAATAATCATTTAGGAACTCCTAAACGGCCCGTATTCTGAGAATCACCAATTTTTATCTAATACTAGCATCTTCTTGCTGCAAACTTAGATCATACACATTTACACTATCATACTATATAAAGAACAATTGATTAGGCAGAGAACAGTAGGCCATATGGTCTAGTATAGTAATTCACAAACTTGGTAAATGTTCCTTTGGTGTGTATAATTGGAGATATCATTTCTAAGAGTACAATTTCGTTGTATGGGATAATCGGACTTGGCAAAAGAGCTGTAACCGTTAGAACTCATCATAGAAGTCGACTTCTTCAAACTTCTTAACTGTTGTCTCTGACGATACAGTAAGCTGCGATAGTACTATGGTGTATGTCGTCGCCAGAGAGAGAAACTGCACACCAAGTGAAACCTGAATTGTTGTGGAGTCCAAAAACTTTAACCAAACGCATGCGAGTGACGTACCGAAATAATTGAAGATCGCCCCAGAGATCCAAAACCTAGAACCGTAGCCTTCGGGCTAAGGTGTTCGATATCAGCAAGGAAAAGTTGAATCTGAAGAGAAGAGAAACTCGTCGCCGTTACGATAGTCCATCAAACCATTACTTTACGTTATGGGCAACTGCTCGTATTCGGAAATACGGCAAACGAGAACTTACTTCACTTAAAATGTAATCACTTTTCGTAGAGGAAGCAAGGTGAAAAAGTTGGTGCGTAGCCGGACGTCTCAGCTGTGGAAACGGAAATACAGAAAACTGTGAGGATAGTTGACTTCCATTTTGGTGAGACGTGTTTTGTATTGAGCATTGTGTTAATGATTGGTACAAATAACCACGCTATAAATAAGCTTCAGAAAAGTTTTCTCACCGCTTGAGAGACGAACTCGGCTGCGACACAGGTCGTCACAACACCCACAATCATGACGGCGTACAAGACGGCACAGATGGTAGAGCGCCGGTCCCACACCCGGTCGATGGCGAAGTGCGTGAACAGGAAGCTGATGCTCACGTAGCAGGTGAACAGAATGGTGAAGAGGACGATCTGCATTCGGCCCAACGTGACGCACAGGAGGTGTAGGACGCGTGCCAGGCGCTGCCACACTCGGCGGTGGGCACGCAGCCCAGCCACGCCAAGTCTCTGAAGCCAACAGGATTAAAAATATAAAATCAATATGTTCAACGACAATTTTTTGGCTGGGCGATTAGCGAAGCCTATTACTCCAGTGATGATCAAAAAGTTTCGCGTCTGTCTGTCTGTTTGTCTGTGCGCACGATAACTAGAAAACGGTTTGAGCCAGGAGACTCTAATTTTTATTGTAGCTTTGTGTCATAAAAGGAAGAACTGTATTGATTTTGAGCCCTCTGTCTCAAAAGTTAACGTGTCAAAAAAATCATTAACAAAAAGTCCAAAACATTTCTTTAAGAAAATATTTTTTTTACATCTTTCTTAAAGGTAACTCGTCAAAATAGAATCCTTGTGACCAAAATTTTGACCGTTTGGCTCTATCTCTAACCGTTTAGTCGGCAGTGGGCGATTTCCACATGAAAAAGACCCCAAATCGCCCCAAATCATTTTAATGTTGTTTCTCAGATATTTAATGGTCTCTGGTGGGGCAACTCGTCAAAATAAAATCCTGGGGGTAAAATTTGTGTTGTTCTTTGTAGCCGACGGCCTATCTACGACTCTGCATTTTGCCCGACTCGGGTGTCAGCGCCGCAGGCCTAGGTAGATGAATGCCAGGCGCGTCGCAGCGTAACAGTGTTTCGTGAGAAATCGCGAAGCCTGTTACGCGAGACGTGGTCTGGCGTACATCTACCTAGTAAAAGTAAGTGCCCCACCTTAGGTTTCACACAAAAATCCGGTACTAGTTACAAAAATAGTCCTCTGACTTTTACGCCGGTACGTTCCCACGAAAGGTCTTTTAATTCTCATATAATGATGCGTGTTTTGTGCACATTTCAATTCGATGCAAATTTGAATCTGGTCAGGGACAAATTTATTTTTGGCTGAGCGATCAGCGAAGCCTATTTCTCCAGTGATGATCAAAAAGTTTCGCGTCTGTCTGTCTATCTGTACGCACGATAACTCGAAAACGGTTTGAGCTAGGAGACTCTAATTTTTATTGTAGCTTAGTATCACAAAAAGGAAGAACTATATTGATTTTGAGCCCTCTGGCTCAAAAATTAACGTGTCCAAAAAATCATAAACAAAAAGCCCAAAACATTTCTTTTAGAAAATATTTTTTTACATCTCTTTTCGAGGTAACTCGTCAAAGTAAAGAACTTTGGGCCAAAATTTGGTCCGTTTGGCTCCATCTCTGACCGTTTGGGCTCCAGAGGGCGTTCTTCACACGGAAAAGACCCCAAAACATTTTTATGTTAACTCTCACATATTTGATGGTGTCCGGTGGAGTAACTAATCAAACTGATACCTCGAGGAACAAAATTAGTGACTTTTGGGGCCGAAGCCCTATTTACGACTGTGCCCTTTGCCCGCATCGGGTGTCAGCGCCGCAGGCCTAGGTAGATGTATGCCAGGCGCGTCGCAGCGTAACAGTGTTCCGTGAGATATCGCAAAGCCTGTTACGCGAGACGTGGTCTGGCGTACATATACCTAGTATATTATCATATATTTAATTTTATTGGATCAGTTGAGATAAAGCAAACAAGAAAGCGCATAATCTTAATTATACACTGGATGCAAACCAGAAGTTTGTCCGGAATTTCTAGAGCTTGTGTACAAACAATTGCAGGAAAAAGCAGGAAAAAATCTTTGCAACGTAACATATGTAACTATTGCACAGAGTGTGTACCTGAAAATCGCCCAGCAGGTTGCCAGCCTGGTTCAAAGCTACTGCGCGTAGGCCGTAACAACAAAAGAACCAGAAGCCCACTCCCACACACGGGAAGAAGAAGGAGTGTACGTTTATGATAAGGGTCCACATGTCCTTCTCGACCAGCTGACTGGTCCTAAGACTTAGTAGGCTAATCGCGAACGGTGGTAAGATGCAGAGCGCACAGAAGACCCAAGCTCTGCAGCGTAGGCCACTCCTCGGGATAGGCTCGTACAAGTCCGCTATCTGCGTCTGCGCGGAAACAAAAGAAATAGACACTGTTAAGAAAGTTATTAAAATTCATAACAGTTCTGATATCAATTTTAATAACATTCGTGATGTACACAATTTCATGGCAGAAAGTTAGAATTTGTAAATTGTTCAGTAAAATTTGAAAAGCAGACGTTGTGTACTCAACGGTCGACACCGTGACTACACCCCTCACTGCTACTTTACTAAAGAATAAAATGTTTAAAAAAAGCTAGCGCAGGTTTCAACTTATATTGTTTGTCAAACAGTCTTAAAACTTGACTTTTTGCCAATGTCTTACATATATTTACACCTAGGGCTAGGCGATATTATTTTTTCAAAACCAATAGACAATATTTTGGTGTATTGGAATTTTGTCCAATATCAATATTTCTGTATTGGAATATTGGAGTAATGGAAATATTGGAGTATTGGAAATATTCAACATATTGAAAATTGAACGAAAATCGCTAATTTTAGACGGCAATTGCCTAAAAGGGGCCACCTCGGGCCACCTGGTGTGAGTAAAGAAGAACGTTACCAGGGGAGCTGAACGTTGAGATAGCAAACTATATAGCCTGCAACACCGCTTGCCCGCTTGCCCTGCCACCCCACTCCGTTTATTCAATATTGGAATGCCAATGTGCCAATACACCATTACAGAAATATTGATTTTGGTATCTTCAAAAATTCCAATATTGGTCACCAATATTTTTTGAATATTGATATTGGTGTCAATACATTTGGAATATCGCCAACCTCTATCCTCTAGCTCCGATACGGTTAAAGATACAGCGAATCTGAGGGCAGTTCCCAATGTGTGATTTTAACGGTTAGAAGAACAAGAAGAAGTTGCGAGATGGCCGCCACGGATCACAACAAACATTCAACTGTTTTCCCGAGCAGCCACTCGCGCTCGGGAGCCCCAATAACCTACATATTACATTGCGTCTGTTGGAGTCAAATGTGGTTTTGTTAAAATCGGAAGAACGAGAAGAACACAAAAACGGTATCGGAACCACGAGAATGCTATTACTGCACTGTTAAAAATTTTTCTCTTAAAT